AACTAACCTGTATGTACTGAACTGGACTGCGCGCCATATCTCCGTCCAAGTCCTGAACGAGAGCCTTACCCTGCTCTCGAAGGTACGCAGACGTGCATTCGGTCATCGTTTTCAGGCCATCGTTAACGCGCTTCAGCAGGCGGTACATGCACTTCAAAGAGTCGTATCGGTCGTTTTTCAGCATATGTACGACGCCGGAATTTTCCATTTCGACGATCACCTTCATGTTTCGGCTGATCAGTTCTCGCTCCAGCACCTAAATCAAGAAAATGCATGTTTGTTTTCAAAAAAACACCATGCCACCCCATACTTGTACGATTTTTGCTTCCGTGCTGAGATCTAGATAGTGCTTAGCACGCTCTGATTCTTCGTGTATTCGCTGTTCGACCTTCTTGATGTATACGGAAGCGCTGTTTTCGCCCAAGAACTTTTGACTTTCAGCCTTACAAAGATCAGTCAGTAGCAAGCAGACTTAAACCGCTTAAATTGTCTTCGACACCAAAAAACGAGAAAATATATGCCGGCCCGCAAAGGGCACTGCAACAGCTGACATCAGAAAAAAACGGTTGTCTTTCATTATGGAAACGTAACCTCCAACGAATGTGCAAATGAAAAATGTGTTTGCAAATTCAATACCTCTGTCGTGAAAGCAAACACTTTCGCTACCTTTCGCAGAAAACTCACAGATATCATGTAACTGAGACGGCGAAATATTTCAACCCTAGTACTCCACATCTTGAAAAAGCCGTGTCAAAGTATCGCTGAATGGAGTTTTAGTACACAAGAAACAAGATCTCGGCATAATCAAACAATGACGAGTTCAAAACCTCGAAAGATATCTCATCTGTCATCCATTCAAGATATGTAAATGAGTGCCGCTACACCAGATGGCAATATGAAACAGTATAGTAATTCGGCGGTCTAACTGCAGATATTACCCTTACACATACAAGATTTTCCAGCTCAAGGAATCGAAGAAGAGTTCAGTGAATAAGCAATGAAAGCACAGTGCCTTACGAATTTAGACATATACCTAATTGGTACCGAATATAATATTGCAATATAATATATTTCAACATGCCACGTAATGTACTACATGTGTAGTGGGTACTTGTGCTGTACTACATGTGTAGAGGTCGTTAAGAATACTCAGGTTACGGATCAAAGCGGCTACGGTTTACTAACGCTGATAACGTACAACCGTATATCACTTCCAAGTGAAGCAAGACTTCAAGAGCTGGAAGAAGAAATTAGACAGATCAAGTGAGACACTGTAGCACTTAGCGAAGTAAAAAGAAAGGAGGAAAGTTAAAGTGGACACCTATTATACAGAGGATCGGCAAATGGAAGTACTGCGAACGCGGGCTACGTTAACCACAGACGATTAAAAAATAAACAGTAAACAATGTAGTACAAGCGGACAGCAACTCCATCCGATAATTCTGTTGAGGCAAGGTCATGTCTTTTCAGACAGCCAAACTTCCCACTCAGTCGTTTTTAGTTATCATTCAGTACACCTTTCCCTTTAGTTTGATGGGTAACTTTTTACCACAGAGCTGACCCTCTCCATCTGAGTCATGTATTTTTCGACCGATTAGTTAGATCACTATCGATTTCCCCATTTTCTTGAAGGATAAAACCAAGATACTTGAATTCTTGGGTTTAACGGACATACACCCTGCTACTTTCACTGATTCTTTGGCATTACGCTAATCTCCTTACTGAAAAAGCCCGCCATGTATTCTGACTTGAATTTGCTAAACCGGGGCTGTTCTTCTCATGGACAATTCTTTATGCCTTGGCTTTTGCCTCTGCTGCATCTCTGCTTTCACTGCTCAGCGCGTCATCTGCATACAGCATGCAGAATGGGAATAATTCCTGGAGATCTGTAGTTATTGCATCTGCCGCCATCGAGATCAGGAAAAGTCTGAGAGCTGAACCTTGAAGAAACCCTGCCTGCATAAAGAATTCTTCTGTTTCGCCGCATGTACTTCGAACTATCGTTATCACTCTGTCGTATCTGCAGTCAGCCAGCATTTTCCTGGCACCAGCTTCTTTCTCATGCTCTGCAAAATAGCCTGCCTCAGTATTCGATTAGAAGGTTTCTCCCGCTCTAGGAAGATTATTCGAATGTTCATGCTGTCGCCTCTACATATTTAAACGATTAATCGCACAGCAAAGATGGCGTCTGTAGTTGACCGGTCAGGCGTAAAGCCAAATGTGTTCGCAGTAATACAGACCTCCCTCATCAGTCTTGTCCAGCATTCTTTCGTATAGCTTCATAGTGTGGATGAGCAGTTTTATTCCATGACAGTTTTCATAGCTGAGAATGTCCACTTTCATTTTATATAAAGGCAACAAAATAACTTTCCTCCATGACTGCAGCAGCTTTTCACATTCCACGATATTATTAAATGGTACACAGCCAAACCATGCTTTCTTGCCGAAAAGCTTTCCATGCTTCTATGGAAACTCCTCCGGGCCAAGGGTCTTTTAATTTTTCGTTCGGGTGAAGCGCTCCGTTTCAATAGGTGTGATTTACCGACTAATCCCTGGTTTCGTTGGAACTCTTCCGAGGCCACTCTGCGTTGTTCGTCGTTCATAGCAGCGTTCAAAAGTGTATTCGCTATCGATCGCGAGTATTTTTCTCGTTACTCAACCCCAGTTCGTTTTCCACTTTACACACTTCACTTTACCATATGTGCAACCAATATATCTGGATAAACGTCATACACCGAAAGTGACAGTAAAAGCACTAGTAGGTCAACAAAGGGATTCATCAGCGGTTTGATAAGAGATGCAGGTTTGCCTCTAACAACTACACCGCGATGTGTCTATGGAACAGGCATAGAACAAGTGGTTTCAAAGGTTTGTGAAAAGTCTTTGTTCTGTACTGAAACGACTTGAAGCGGCTTGTCCTAACGATCGTTCCAGGGCGACTTGCAGCAAGGTCTCTGTATATGAAATGTTCACGGGCAGCAAAGTCTTTTTTCATCAAGCTTTGTAGCCTTCTTTACGACACAGATAGCTACCTGACTTACTTATCTTCAAGGTCTAGTCCATTCTGGTAGGAGACGATACTAGCAAGTGTCGGCGGCCGTTTTCTATATCCGCGAGGCAGTTAACCTACGTAGGCAAACGAAGAGTAGTACGGGCATTATGAAACACCGCATGAAGGTAAGTAGGATTCGGCTTGCTCAAAGGTTTCATTACCCCAAGAAAAAAGTCGCTTTCATAAACTTTTATGCGCCACTCTGGCAACTTGCACTTCCCACTTGAGGTGTAGGTCCAATATTATATCGAGAAATGTCACTTCGTTAGCCCTTCTGAACGTTAAGTATTTGTAACTGCAGGAGCTTTTGCAGTCGCAATTGTAAACGAATCAAACTGGATGGAATCTAGGCGTCGCTGAGATGTTTTGGCAACGCGTCTTCATCAGTATCAAATCTATATCTTCATTGTAGGTAGGACAACACGGTTCGCCACAATAAATCTTTTAGGTGATCTGAACCGTGTCTATGATTGCTATGTTTGTAAAAACGGCAACAACGTCCAGATTAATGACAAAAGACTGGAGATGCAAAAAATGACGTACCGGAATGATAGCGAAACAAGTAACACACAAGACTTCAAGACTAAACCTTTCAGCGGATACCACCATAATTAGCTATGAAATCTTCCCCCCCCCATCAGCATTATACCAAGAATAATACACTTGAGAACACAACAAAAACTAACAGTAGAAAATTTTTTCATTTAATTTACAGCAAAATGAACAATCCCGGTGCCAACAAAAACTCGACATCAAAAGCGGGACACTAATGGTAAGCAGTTTTGCATGATCACAATATCATTGTGGATCGTGTTTTGTATTGAACTCTGGTCACGCAATCGTAAATCTGCGATAAGCTATGCAAGTAATAAATGAAAAATGTTCACCTAAGCTCTAAAAACAATTTATAACCAAACGCTTCGAATTCCTGAAAACTATTTCTGGTAAACATAGTGTTACATTCAATTAAAAGACTTCTATCTATTATCAACTTTTGTACGCTGCAATTAAGAGTTTCTGTTTCATGTATTATCAGTTTATTAAAATATGCTAAGGCAGCCAAATTTATCCAAAATGCGAGAAAATTGAAAATTCGGTATGGTCGCGTTCGATTGTCCGTATCCGAAAGTTGGACCTCTCGTTTAGCTTATGAATAGGTTAGACGTATTTACATACCTTGTAAAACTCAGCGGATTGCTGCAGAAACGGATTTTCGAAATCTTCTTCGTAAACAGTTCGGGAATCTATTCCTAATGCCATTAACATCTGGCATGCGTTTTTAATTCCTATCCTAAATCGTCCATAAAGTTATGAAAGCTTTGAGTGAAAATACATGAAAAACAGAAGAACTGGCAAAGAACTACGTACATCTGCACAACCTCTCCACGTCGCTCCGCCATAATCATGTCCAGTAGCTTGTTCCTAAGGAATTCCCGGATACCATCGTAACGAATCACTTCATCTCGGAATAAGATCAGCCCTAAATTATACACCGGCACAACATTGTGCTGCTGAACGTACACCCGATCCTAAAATCAGTTTAGATCGATCTCACAAAACAGAGTTGATTAAACGTACCATATACATCAGTATGTCCCTAATCATTACCATACTCGTAGTGTGATCAATCCATGCGTTGATCAGCACTTCCAAGAAGTTATTATTCATTGCGTTAAGAACGTCTGTGCGTACCTGAAATGAAAGTCGAGCACTGTGAAACAGCCTGTGATTACCGCGTTAAGAATTCTGCAGGCATCCGTACGAGAACAATACAACAGAAACAGCATCAACACCACATAAGAAAACCAGGTTTTCTAAAATAACTTTGATTTTGTGGTTACCGGAACAAATAAACAAGCGAAAATTTCAATCAAGTAAAACAGTAGCTATTCACTTTCCGCCGTCCAAAGTCGTCAAACACTGACACAACTGATATATTAAAAATCACTAGCTTGCATTTCAAAAGCTTAATGACTACTGAAGTGAAAGCAGAACCAGTCAGGGCAGCGCCAATGCGCCGGTTTCACAGGTTTCGGCAATTCTTATTTTCTCCCCAATTTCTGGTATCTTCAAGTCTAGCATCCGCTAAGCATCATTAGATGCATCATTCATCCATCTTGTCTATGAATCGTCAACAGGATCTCCATCGTTCGAAGGGTAGACGGCAGGTGAAAATTTCAACGGCTGAATGTTTTCTTTCGGAATTAACGCGGACGGTAATTCTCAAGCCTACCGTGTGGTTTGAAATTTGCGTGTCCCTCTTTTAAATATAAGGCCTTAAAAGGCAGTGAGCTCTATCAAACACCGTTACCATCGCCTCGTTAGTCCATTTGTTCGGTATTATTATCACAACAACGACACCCCATGAGTGGGCTTCAACAGAATATCGCTGAAACGCGGATCATAGTGATGAATTTGTTCACCTCACGTTTTGTTATTAAACGTGTGAAGTTTACTGTTTGAGTCGCATTGCGGAAAATTCCAATGATGGATGCACCCCACAGCTCCAACCTCAGACATGCATCATGACTGTGACGGCAAACAGCTCAGCATTCGTCACCAGCGTCTGCATATACTTCAAAGTCAGCTAAGCGACATCGGTCCCAGATGGCACACGATCAACAAAACGAACAAGTCTGTCAGAGCGGAACGAATCGACGAAGAATAAAAATGAAGTCATTGTAAAAGGGATAAATAAATAAAGGGACACTGATATTCAGTATGCCATATGTCTTATCTACCAAATGTTGCAAAGAAAGTTAATTTTTCGTTGTTCATGATATCGCTCATTTTTGAATCTTCTGTTCCTCTTGTCATGCAGTCGTCATCTTTCGTATAGAGGGTATGCCTGGCGATGAAATGATTTTGCCATGCCTTCATTAACAGATGATACGGACCTCCTCCATCGTTCATGGCATGTTTGTAGCCGAAGTATTCTTTTCGATTTATATTAAGGGCAGGAAGAGATTTGTCAGGCCCTGAGACCGCTGTTTAAGAGTTCATGGCTGGTTTTATGGATGAGAAGTCTCTATTCTACTTCTCCCTGCAATGCAGTTCTTTATTCTGATCGTTGTCGGCACTCCGCCATGGGGACACTTGAGGCACATTGAGGCTACATTTTTGAGAGTGCTTAGAAGTTCCGTGGTTTAATTTAGAAGTATTTTATAATAGTTTGAATAAGAATTAGTACGAACTGGGTTCTCACCTTTCTATTCCCAGTTTATAATTGGACTATCCTTCCAGTGAGCAGGCTCTCTGAAAAGTATGAAGAAGTCGGTTAACTCCTCATTACTGTTATCGCGATGGGCGATCATTTAGGCCATGACAAGTCTTTACCACTATCAATACCCGCTACCTTAGCATGCTATCGTTTACGGAGGTAGTTACTGCCCTCTCTCGGCACATAGGTGTCGAGATTCGATTTATACGGCAAGAATCAACATTACTTCAGATGAGATCTCTCCCGCTACTAGCTTGCAACGTCGAGATACCAGATCATTGCTTCTTTAACGGTGGTTTCGAACTTCGCAAAACCATATTAGACTGTTTGACTGATAGATGAAAAACATATTTAAAGTTAACTAAAATATTTCTGAACTTTAGTTTAAACCCTACACTTTGTTTCCATGACAGCTTCCTCTGTAAAGCGCTCCTTTTACTGTTAATAGTGTTAGTTTTAATAATGACTTATTGACAGTGTCTGACTTATTATAATCAGGTTTTATGAAATTATGTTTATTGACACATTCAGTAATAGGTGGAGTATGCTTATTAACGTATACAGGTTCAATTTCCTGTGATGATTTGAAGCTTATATGTAGCATGAATGATGGCGAGCAAGATGTTATAATTGATGTGAGATATACCGGTGGCACTGCAGATGCAAAAATGCAGTAGAGCCGTTAAATATATGAGTGATTCTCCTTGTCATTAAAAGCCAGCGGACAGTAATAGAGCACTATGTTGTAACTCAATTGGATGACGTGCTTGTTTCTATAATGAACTAAAAACGATTGACGCTAATAGAGCACCAACAGTTGGAAACTGCATTGACGCATGCACGGTTAAGAAAGAATCACACTGAGATGTCGCTAACTACGGGGCCAGACAAGATGTTAAAAATCTTGAGTACTCGACCTAACCTAGCTGACAGCTGTCGAGGGAGCTTCGGTTTGTGTTTTCTTCTCGTTGACTCATTATAAGTAATATCTGCGGAGTGTTTTGTTTTCAAGTAGTATAGATACAATTGTTGTAAAATTTTTTGTATCTAAACTGTTTTTGAATCTTTGCTTAAGCTTTCATTTGTTGTTTGTTTTAACGACGTTAGAAAACAACTCCAAATGATGAGTTACCAGATTTTTCGCGTTTCAAGAATTCAGCCTTTTCTTACCCTTTTTCGGTTTAACGGTACATCCTTTTAGTACTGAAGGTAGTTCTTTCTCGATCAACGACTTGTCGATTAATTTTAACACCTCGCGATTAATTTCAACACCTAATTAAAACGATCTTCGTCAACGAAACGCTTGCCAGCTTTTGTGTCAACGTATAAGTATCGTTCATTTACTTCAGCTAAGAACCTGTTAATGACTCCGTTTTACTGTTAAGTAAATTCATCCTAACAACCAGTAAGCAGTTTGAAAATAAAATATAGCATACTCGAAATGAATATATTCTTAA